TGTGAGAGGGGAGAGAGTGGGGGGCATACATGGTGGCGTTGCTAGTGGTGTTCGATGGAGTTGATGGTTGGCTCTTGGGGCAATGCTAACAGAGAGAAGAGATATAGAGAACACAGTGGGGGGTAAATTGTAAACCCCACCCTTTTATCTTTATATATATGTATGTAGATTTATATAGCAAGTTATTATTTCTTTTAAAATGATAATATGGAAAAATTCAAAGAAATAGTAGTTAAAAGTTATTTTAGCTTGCAAATATATGAATTGTTGTAATAGAACTCGTACCAACTTGGTTTAATGTACAAAAGTATTTTGTTTAAGTTTGGGTTAGAATGGATTGGAAATCAAGAAGGAAGGATTTGTAGAAAAACTGGCAAAACCTTCCAGAATGTTAAGGTAAAGGCTTATCCAGTAGGATAAACCTTCCGGAATGTTAATGAAAAAGGTTGTCAATAGGCAAACCTTCCAGAAGGTCTTCAAAAAATCTGAATTTTTAAGTCGCGAATAACTGGTTTTCCTTTCACTATAAATACTTAAGGGCAACCCCTTTAGCCCCATTTCAACACTTAAAACCCTAGGAGACCTTAGATAGGAGTAACGGAAGAGAAAAACACAAGATCAAAAGAGATTTCAACTTCAAGAAGATCAAAACATAGTCTTTTCAAGAACATCAAGGTAGTGGGTTTTCTTCCACTCTTGTTCATTGATGCTAGAGCTAATATATATGTAGTCTTTGACTCTAAATCTCATATATTTGCTATGAAATCATCTTTCCTTGGTTTTTGGCAATTATTAGCGTGTTTTAAACAAAGTTAGGGTTAAATACCCATGAAATCTCATTTTCTTGATATAAAACTCTAGTTTCTAAAAGAGATGGACTTTATTCTTGATTCTTCTTTTGTTCTTGACTTTGTAACTTTAGTGCTTGGTGTCGAGTAATAAAATGATGTTGTGATGATCTCTTGCTTATTTTCTTAAATGGTTCTCTTGTACTACAAATTGTGAAATTGGAGAATTATGGAATTGTTTGTTATTTGAGGAAATTGTTGAAATTGTATCTCTTGTATGGTTGTTGTGATGGACTTGAATTGCATTCGAGCACTGTCATAGAGTGTTAGAGGTTAGTCTATCCTAATGGGGGTGAGCTGATTTCCTAACACTTGTAGTGGTTTATTGTTTGTGAGAGCAACCACTATTGTTCACGGAAGTTTGAGGCTGAGGGTTAGTATACCTTTCATAGGAAGAATTCGTCAATGCCATGGGACACGGTATATGCCCTTCCTAAAGTGGTTTGTGTGGTTATGGTTGGGTGAATGAGGTATATTCGTTGTGTAGATTCATGGGAAGCAACCAACATACATGAAAACATGCTTATTGTGTGGAATTGGTTCCTACAAGAGCTGGTGGAGGTATGAGACTCTACAAGAACTTGTGGGAAAATGGCTTATGGTTAGAAATGGTTTATTGTTTGGAAATTCATTTTCCTATTCATTTAAATTATTGCTATTGTGTAAACTTGAGATCTATTGAAATGTCCCAGTTTTCTTTCAAAAATTCCTATATGATATTTGCAAAATGAGACTGACTTGTTTTAACAAGCTTTCTAAATCTTGTATGAGTTTGGGAGAATGTTACTACAGAGCTTCGTGCTCACCCCCAACAAATAACATATTTTTCAGATTATATGCTATAGGAGGAGCTAGGAGTAGATGAACAAGCACATTGGGAAACTCCTATAGAAAGGAACATGGATCCCGAAGTGGACATCTAGAGTTATATGCTCTTTTGTTCTAGACTAGGATATTTGTTTTGAGACTATGTAAAGTCAATCCTTTTGTAATTCCGCTGCAAGTTTACATGTAATTCTTTTGGGATGTAATTATCATAGTCGATCATATTCTTTTAGGATGTAATGGTCAAGGTTGGCGTATTCTTTTGGGATAATATTGTAAATGCTATAGTTGATGGATGAAAATTCTTTAATGACGGAATTATTTAGTTGCTCTCATGATTTGAATGATTTATAGATTGTAATGTTGTCCAAAGTGGGTTTTGAGGTGTTACATAAATAAGGAAGAATAAAAATGAGGCACTTCTGGACAGAGACGAGAGATAGAAGAGATTGAGGGGGGTGGATGATTAGACACAGAAGGGGGGTGATTTGAGGGATTCAAAATGTACACATTTTAGGGGGGGATTAAACTTTTAAGGGGTTAATTTGGTATGTCAGATTAAAAATTCAGAATGACCTTACACGTTAATAGCTTGAGATAAGTTGAGATTACCGCATCCATCCGATGATGTTTTATTTTATCCCGAAACAACCTGAGTCTATTTTATCTTTGAAATTTAAAAACAACTATAATTTATTATATACATACGAATTGTTCAAATAAAAAGATAATAGAGATTAATTTTTAAGAACCCTTCAAAATAAAGAATTGAACGGGAATAGATGACCACTTAGAGCATCTCCAATAAACTATCTATTCTCACTCAATTGTCTATTATAGAAAGTCCACTCTTAAAATTTCATCTTCAATGGATTCTTTATTTAGACTCTCTAAAATAAAGAGTCAAATTTAGCTCTCTACATTTAGAGAGTCAAACGCACTCTCTACTATATTTTTTTTTGGGTCAAGGCTATTCCCACCCCTTAAATCTCATTTTCCCACTCCATTTAATTATCTTACTTCATATTACTAAGTTCACTCCATATATACTCACCCCTATTAATTACTAAAACCCACTTGTCTACATTTACAAATTAAAAATTAAATTCATTCAATTTTATTTCAACCTACTAAAAAGATAATGATAAAAAATTTATTTAAGTGTATTATTTCGGTACAAAAATATTTTGGAAGCAAAAAAAAAATTAATAATTATTTTTAAAATAGTAGTCAAAATATCTTAAAATAGTTCAAAATATTCCAAAGATATTAGTGAAAATATATCAAAATAACTCAAAATACTTTGAAAGAATATAGATCACCTCGGAACTTTGAAATTTCATTTCAATTATTATTTTTATTTCGGTTTCTTTGACATATATTTAATAGTTTAATTGAATGAATATAAATGAGGTTAACTTAGTAACGAATGAGGTGGGTATAGATAGGGTGAACTTAGTAGTTTGAAATAAGATCATTAAATGAGGTGAAAAAAAAGATTTAAGGGGTGAGAATAGCCCCACCCTTTTTTTTTGGAATATGACGCATGTATTTTTTAAGAGTAAAACAATCAGTCAAAAAGTTTTATAAAAATTGACATTATATAACTAAAAGTGATCTTAGATGTAATTTAGAGATCAATCAAAAGGTTTCATAGAAATTAACATTTATATATAGGAAATATATAATAAAGTGATCTTAGATGTTATTTAGAGATTTAAATACATAAGGATATGATGATAATTTAGACATTAAGTGTGGAATGATAGAATGGCTTTTTTAATTTATTTATGGGGGTAAAATAGTGAATTAAATTTTTTTCATGTTAAGGTACTTTTATTTGTATTTAGGATTATCTAGATTAATTGGAATCAAATTTAATATACAATTCTATAATATATATTATAAAGCATATTTTTTTTTAAAAAAAAATAAAGTTTTCACATAAAATCTTAATAAAGTATGAAAAATTTACTGCTACTAAAAAATCATGTAAAACTATATATATATATATATATATATATATATTTTATCTTAAAAATGAAAGGGTTAAACATATTGAAAAAAAATAAAATATAAATATGTAGTCATAATATTATATTTATAAATAAGGTGAGTAATATTATATGATGGAATTTTTGAAGACTTTTTTGAATATTTGTTAAAACTTATAATGACGCATATATTTTTTAAGCGTAATATAATCAATCAAAAAATTTTATAAAAATTGACATTTATATATAGGGAATATATAACTAAAAGTGATCTTAGATGCAATTTAGAGATCAATCAAAAAGTTTCATAGAAATTGACATTTATATATAGGGAATATATAACTAAAAGCGATCTTAGATGTTATTTAGAGATTTAAATGCATAAGAATATGATGTAATTTAGATATTAAGTGTGGACGGATATAATGATCTTTTTAATTATTTATGAGGGTAAAATAGTGAATTAAAAATTTTTCATATTAAGGTACTTTTATTAGTAGTATATATAGATATAGATATAGATATAAACCCCTTTAATAAGTAATTTAAAAAACAAGAAAGAAAAATTTATCAAAATCCAAAAGAAAACAAGAAAACAAAGGAAAAAATCCGTTGCCAAAAAAATAAAAAACGAAACAAGTTTTTTAATTCACAAACAACACAAGTTTGCCAAACGAAACAAATTTTCTATTTTAAATAGCCTTTGTTGCCACTTTTAAAAAAAATCTGAATACAAATACACACACATAAACGCTAATCAAAATTATTAAACTTGACAAAGTTACCGAAACATAATAACAATAACGAAAATTCACACAGCCCACACAAAATAAAACATAGATTTAAATTAAAAAGTAATATTAACTTGTATCACATTAGAGAAATCAATATTGAAAAAGTACTTTTAGTGCATGAGATGGAATAATGAATAAAATTTTAATTTTGAGAGTGGACTTACTTATTTAAGGGGTCTATATAACATAGATTGGACTTAATTATTAATAGATAAATATAAATAGGTGAAGTTAATAGTTTGATAATAAAAATTTAAATGGAATGCAAATAAATTATTGTGAGACGGGAATAGTCGCACTAACTTTTTACCAAAAAGTCCCTCTATTTTGAAAAAAATGGCCTTTAAGGAGTACTAGAGGAGGTGGTCAGTACAAACGCTTCTGCTGAGTGAGATCCTGACCATCCGATTAACCCGTGATGGTCCGTTGGAATCATCTTATCTCTCGGATTATTAAAAAGGTATAAAGCATAGAAATGCTCGCTAGCGCAGGCTGAAGAGAGAGAGGTGTAGAAAGAGAGAGCAAAGCAAAGGGCTAAGATGGGGGGAGGAATGGAGGCAAATAAGAACAGGTGGATAGAAGAGTGGGGCACAGCAAGGGAGAACCTTGAGCACAACTTCAGGTGGACCCGCCGCAACTTTGCCCTTGTTGGCCTCTTCGGCATAGCTCTGCCAGTCCTTGTCTACAAAGGCATCGTCAAAGAATTTGTAAATCCTCTATCTCTGTGCGTGTGTGTACATGTCCATGTTTTATTTGTTATTTAGATTTGGCTTTTTGAGATCTATATGTAGCCTGATTACCTTGATTTATTTTCTGGGTCGATTTAGTGTAAAATTTGGGGAATTTTTTGAAAAGATGTCTAATAGTCTCTGTGTATTCGAATTTGTTGAGATTTCCGTGACTTTTTAATTATCACGTAGCTGCTGAAATTTGCAGAAATAAAGTTTATGTTTGGGTTTCTTCGATCTTTTTTGGCCACTCGGAATCTGGAATTTCTCGTTCGGAAAATTTGGTTTCACCTGATAGATTAACAGTAGGGAAATGTAGTTTGTTGGGGATTTTGTTGAAACTTTGGCTTGTGGTTTTGATAAGTATTATTTGTGTCTAAAATTGTTTTTGAATTTTGGGAGTCATATTTGATTCGAAGCTGATAAATTGATCTGTTATGCTATTGTTAATCATAATGATTTTGTTTTATCATGAACTGAGCAATAATTAGTGCATTTTAGCAGTTTGGAATCTAAAAATTGTAATTTGGCCAATGAGTTTTCAATCCAATTGAGCTTTCTTTTTCATCACCAAGCTTCTCATTTGGTGAAACTGGTTCCACCCAATCGATGATCAGTTGTGAGGTGGCAAAACAACTCAAACTTTATTTTCCAGCCAATAAGCCTAAAAATTGGATATCGAAATGCCAGTTGGCAAAGGGTCTGGTTTTACTGGTTGCAAGTTGTGATGTATGTGATCACTTATTCGAGAGAACTTCGGGGTCTTAAATGTTATAGTCAAGTCTCTAGTGTTGTCCACCTACAAAAGATAGATGCGTAATAAGCATGCTAGAACCTGTCAAAAATAGGGAGTTCAAAGTCTTAGTTCTCATTATTCGTAGTCAGTTGGTCTAGCATCTGATTCAATAGTTTAGATAATTCTATTCAAAATATAATCTGTAAAGCTAGAACTGGCTGATTTAGTGGTGGTCAGTCCTTGTTTGCTTTTCAAAGGGTTCCTTAGCCGTTGTTAGTCATATATTCTTACCATGGTTAGTTCAGAGAGATTATCTGTCTTAATTGCACTTGCATGGGAGTTTAGATAGCACTATTGTGTACCATGGGACATTCAGTTACTTGTTAATTTCTTATATTAGGATTCTGATTTTCTAATGGGTTGGCACTAAATTGGTCATTAACATAACAAGAGACATAAGTGGATATAGGATCCTCATTTCAGTTTGTTGGGAATCCAATATTTAGGTCTTCTTTTGGGAGGGAATCCATTATCCTTGATTTTTTGGGACCTATAATGGAGAAAGTTAGTAAAAGACTAGATGGTGAAAGAGAGCATTTATTTCTAGAGAAGGTAGGTTAACTTTGATTTAATTAGTTTTGACTACTAGACCTTATTTCTATCTCTATTTAAAGTGCAATGTAAGCTATGAAGTAGGGACACTCTCAAGAAGGTGACGTATCTGTGTCAGACACGTGTCAGACGCCGACACTTCTCGGATACTCTTGAACGGGTGTTTAATACTTTGTTGTCCGTTTTCATAATTAAATAATAAAATTATAATTTCGAATATGTGTTCAACACTTCTTTGGTGTTGTGTTCGACACTTCTTTAGGCCATGCCTATTACTAAACAATAAGCATGCAGTGATATGTGATTAACAAAGCTTAAAAATTTGACTAATAAGTATCTTAGACTATAAGAGAACATATAATTTTCAAGGCTAAACATGTTGAAGTTGTACTCAAAATATCATAATAAAATCAAAGGATGCATAAAAGTTTAAAAAAGAGGAATTGAGAAAATGAGAGCAATCATTTAAAGTGTATATGTTGGGTGCACGTTGTGTACAAAATAAATTAATGATTATTGACTATTATGATGCTATGGTCCAAAAGTTCACACTAGATAACTATATATAACATTTATCTATCATAAAATACTTAGTTTTATATGAATAATATATAATTATCACTGTATTTGCCATAAATTATATAGGTTTATATAGAAAACACAATTATCTATAGCTTATTGTCAATGTGTCCGTGTCCTATTTTTTTGAAAAATATCGTATTCGTGTCGTATTGTATTCGTATTTGTGTCCATGCTTCTTAAAATATAAGATTGCTATCAGAATTGAAAAGATGATGAGATATTTTTTTGTGGGAAGGGAGTGGTGAAGGAAAGAGGGATCATTTGGTGATTTCAAAGGTGGTTTCAAGGTCTAGGAATAAGCATAGACTATCAATGAAAAATTTGAAGGCTAGAAAATATAGTTTTAGTTGGGAAATAGCTTTGAAGATTCCCACAGTAGGGGTGGAGCTACATAGGTCTTAGTGGGGAACTGTACCCACTCAATTTTGTCACCCCACCCCCCCGCCAAAAAAAAAAAAGAACTCATACATTTTAATTTACTTAATTATTTTTTACATTTAGATTAAATTTTTTTACTCTCAATTAAGTGAACTTAATATTTGGTTTATTGAATCTGTCAAAAATGTGTTCAAGAAATCATTCTGAAACTCATCGTTCTCCTTCTCTAAATTTTGCCATCTCTTTCTCACAATTGTTAATTTATTTATATAATATGAAAATTAGTCAGTAACAATTGCAAATATAAGGTTTTTCCATTATGACCTAGACATCAATAATTCAAGTCCTGGAGTATTCTTTCACATGAGGGGTAAGACTATATACATTTGACTCTTCCCCGATCTAACAATTACGAGAATCCGCGCACTAGATAACCTTTTTTTATTCATTATTAGTTCAAAGTTTTTAATGAAATACTATTGAGTTATGATTTGGGAATCTTATTTGAGAATCTAATATATTGGCATCAAGGAATTAAGAGTGGGTCTTAGCATTGAACACAATCCACTTTGCTAAACCAGCGACAATAATGCATTAGGTCTCTAGATTAGTTTTCAGTCGGTGTCATGTATAATTGTTGTTGAAATTTTTACCCCAACTACACTAAATTTATGGCTTCTCCCCAGTCAACGCGAGCAAAACTCTTTATGGTATTTGGTTGTTAAGGGCAAATATGAATAACAAGCCAATGGATAGGATGCTAATGAAGCTGAGGGGGCAACTTATTGATGTCCATGGAAGTTCATCCCTCAAGGGCATGCACGGGTTGCCCAAATGACATTCATGGTGGGTAATGGGGAGACAGTTTGCTTATGGGAGGATGTTTGAGTTAGTTCATCATTATTCTCTTGTTTGTTTCCACGACTTTATCATTTATCTCATTGGCATGGGTCTTCTATTGCATTGGTCTGTTATTCTTCTCGTAATTCAGTTTCGTGGGATTTTGGTTTCCGTAACCATCTTGGTGATAGAGATACTAAGGAATTGCTATCACTCCTCTCTATGGTTGTTTCTTTCTTCGATACGCTGGTTGATCCCTCATGTTCTTTGTTTCATCCATCTGTGATGATTTGGAAATCTAAAGTGCCTATTAAGGTCTAAGTTTGTCCAGGACTATAACTCATGGTAAGATTAATACTAATGATGTGCATTAGAGAAGACGACCTTTCCTTTATATTTCTCCATAGTGGTGTGTGAGAGCAGTGATCATGTTTTTTTTTACATTGCTCTACTGCTGTGCTTCTATTGTGCAAACTATTTCAAATGGCAGGTTTGAGTTGGGTGATTCGTGGGACTTTCTCCCCTCTTGTTTGTGGAGGGCGTTTTGGCAATTTTAGTCATTTTTTTGGGTGATGCTCTTGGGGAAGAATACTAGAATATTTGAGGACAGAGAGGAGTGGAACGATGGATTATGAGATTGAACTTATTTCTTAGCTTTGTTGAGGGTCTCAACATCTAAGAGTTTCGCGGCATTCCACTCTTTAGCATTTTTGGCGGATTTGAGAGGGTTGTGTAACATAGTTTTTGTGATTCAATTTTTTGCTTTTTCTTTTTCTTTTTGGATGGACACCTTGTCCAACCATTTCTGTACTGTTCTTTCTTAAATCAATAAAATTGTTTTGTTTCCTATCACCCCCCCAAAAAAAAAAAAAAAAAGACTATTGTGAAATGCCAAAGAATAATGACTGCAGTGTTAATACACATCCTCTTCAATTAGTTCCATTCAAAATTAATTCACAATAGTGTCATGCAAAGCAATCGTGGCCTTGGGCTCTAGTGACAAAACTACATCAAAGAAAATTAATATGCCAATGAGGATTTCTTCCTAATCTTACAATTATTACACTGTTTTATCTCTTATGTTATAAATTAAGCCACAAACCAAGGTGGAAGAGCTGCAAGATCTGTAAGATTTGGCACCAAAACTAAATAGTCCCAATCTTGTTTAACCTAATTTTCGCCTATTATCCTATCATCACCATGCTAACTAATGAGGACCTTACATGTTGCTTTGAGCCCCCTCAGAAGATTGCGAGGTTGTTCATGAAGATCTCATGGAGATTAAACAAGAACTAAGTGCTTTAACTTCCAAGTTTGGTTGAGATGAATGCACACATAGAAAGAGTGCTGGCTGTCTTAAAGCAAAAAAAGCCACTGGACCAGCCCCAACTTGAGAATTAGCATCCTATAAGTCTTCTCAAAATTTGATTCCAATTTCTTATCATATTAAAGCATTTGCAGTTCTAACATGTTGATGTTGAGTAAACAAGGTTGAATGAATGGAGGTGCTTCAATATGCAACAATTGAATTTGATGATCATAGTCTTAACTCCTAAATCCCAGGAAAGCAAAAAGGAGAAAGAACAAGAGAAATCTAAAGCTCTTGAAACAAAGGAAAAGGATGATAATAAGGTGAAGTTGTTATTTTCGAGCAATCTAAGGTTGTACCTGATTTTCAAGGCATGCAAGCCATTGATTTCATTACTGTATATAAATTTAATGTCATGGAAAGGGATTAATATAATTTTATCCTTGTTGCTTCCAAAGTTCTATTTAATCCAGAGAGGTTTCGATATTTGATCTTTCCTAAGAACAAGTGCAAAGTTCATTGTTTATCAAACTTGTTACTGCAATGCTCGAGGTCAATGCTTTTAAATTGTGGGGGAGGATGATGCAGAACATACCACCAAGAAGGGCGCTTTAGAGATTTTGCTTGGAGCTGGCTTTGCAGCGTGTGTAATGAATCTATGAAAGCTCAAGCTTAAATTTGAGTTTTGAATGTTAACTTGAATTTGATAAGTTGCTGCTAGTCAAGAATGAGAGAGAAAGAGAGAGCCCTGGCGTCAACCACTACAATAGATTGCATAGAGAGAGAGACATGGACTTCACCCAATTAAGCAAAGCCAAAGCCATCTGAATTGAGATCAAGATTTGAATGAAAGGATTCACAATGGAATTTGAAGGGTCATCAGGTGGATTGTTTCATATTACCAAAAAGGAATTGAATTGAATCATGTATTNAAGCCATCTGAATTGAGATCAAGATTTGAATGAAAGGATTCACAATGGAATTTGAAGGGTCATCAGGTGGATTGTTTCATATTACCAAAAAGGAATTGAATTGAATCATGTATTTGTTGAATAGGAGCTGCATGAAATGGTTAAAGTAGTCAATTAATGGTGCTTTGATCTGGAGAGGAAGGTGGTTTCTGTATGTGGGTTGAGGTGGAGAATAACAAATTTGGAGATTTTGTTAATTTAGAGTATCCAAATTGATGAATAATTGAAGGAGGACGGGAAAAAGTGTTGGAGGGAGTGGTTGGAGTGCTTTTGGAAAATTGCTGGATGATTCTATTAAAGGTGGAAACCATGCTTTACTGTTGGATAACAAAAATTGGGGATGGGTGGATGTAGGTAGGAGGATTGGAAAGAAGGGAAGGGCCGTGATGTCGCAATAGGAGGTTATTAAAGGAGATTAAAGAGATGGAGAAAGGTCCATGGAAAGTCATTCAAGAAGCTCTGGCTCATAGTTTGCAATTTAATGTTAAATTGCAAGCTTCCCAAACTTACAAAGCCATTTTTTTAGTGATAATAGTAGAGGCTGAGGAAGTTTGCAAAAAAGAATTTGCTTATTTTGATAGAGAAGCTAAGGTGAAATTGTAGAGATTTGGATTGCAGTTGAGGGCCTTCCATTCCATTTGTGGCATCGCGATGTTTTTAAGAGGATCAGTGATTGTTGTGGTGGTGTCATTGAGGTTGATCGTTATAATGACAATCGCGAAAATTTGCTCTGGGCTAGAATTTGGGATCCATAAACTCTGTCAAGCTTTCTCAAATGTTATTTGATGTTGAATATAATAGGAAGGTTTTCACCATCAAAATTATGTTTTTGCAAATTTGGGAACTCATGGAAAATGATGTATGGAGAAGGTAGTATGGAAAATTCATACACACACTATTAGAGAGGTTCAAGATGAAGTGAGGGTTTGGAGATGGGTACATGGTGCTATTTGCAGTAAGGAAAATAAGCAGGTGTGTGAAACTAAAGGTCAAAGTAGCAAACAAACGGGCGAAACACTTGGAGGTGTTTGCCAATTCATAATACAATTAAGGACACTAATTTTGTGGAGTCCTGAGATAATGGGCTGTCAGGAGTTCAAATTTTGAACAATTGGTTCCTATGAAAGCTGGAGTTTTATGCCTTAACAAAGGGAATTTGGACCAAAATATGGTTTGTAAGTATAATGTGGGCTTGAAAAGTCAAGGATCTTGGGCTGTGTCTGGATTCCAGAAAAGAGGTAGTAGAGATTCAAATATTGGGCTGNGAATTTGGACCAAAATATGGTTTGTAAGTATAATGTGGGCTTGAAAAGTCAAGGATCCTGGGCTGTGTCTGGATTCCAGAAAAGAGGTAGTAGAGATTCAAATATTGGGCTGAATAGAATGGACCTAATGGAGAACAAATTGAAAGAAAAAGTGAGATCTGCATTTCCTAAAGCTTCAGCCCAACAAATTAAAAGCTCAAAGACTCTCATTGAAGAGCTAGATGAAGGTTTCAATTAATGTTATTAAGAGAGTTAGAGAGGTTCTATGGAGACGATTGAGGGAGAAGAACAATGGTGAAATAGATGGTAATCAACCTCTCAATGGAGAGACTTCTCATGCGATTGGAAGTGATAATAGCAAGTGATAATAGTAGAGGGAAGGTTTGTGGGTGGGAGGGGTTCGATGTTGAAAGGAAGGAAACCGGAGAGTAACAAAGATGAATTTGAAGATGGGGATGACGAAGAATAGATAATGATTTGGAGGTTGAGGAAGGTTATTGTGATGATTATAACATTTTGATTCATTTGGATGAGTGCAATGATAGTGGGAGAAAATCAATTGATTTGTTACTCCATTGTGATTTTGGAGAGGCTCCGAGATAACAATTTGATGAAGTTTACGATGAAATGGCTAGGTTGCTCGAAATTGTGTAGACAGTTGGAGATCAAGATGGGGATCTTGAGGATGTAGCATTACTGAGGGGTAATTAAACTAGTGAGTTGATTGTTCATGCACGTTGGAGGAGCATGTTAAACTTATTTATTATGGTATTTCTTATGGAGAGTGTTTGCCTTCGTCTACAAAGGGGGGGGGGAACTACCAATCATATTTAGGTTTTGGTAGGTTTTTTATTTTTATTTTTGGGGGAGGGATTGTCTGGTCATGATCTTTGTGGTAAGGTGGGGGAGAATTCAGAGTCAGGGAAGGTCTGGTTGTCGGGACCGAGGAGCGAATTGTTTATGGTTTGTACGATGAACGGGTCGTCTAGGGGGGCCAAGGGGCCTTCTGAGCTGATTGGGTGTTGATTTTTTAAGGATTCCAATTCTAGCACCTTTAGATGTTGCACAAATTAGTTACTGTGATTCGAGATTGAGTACGAATAATAGCTTAGCCATAGTTAATTGTTTTCTTGGGAATACGCACAAATGCTGTTTGTACATGGCATAATTTCTTATGATGGAGAAAGGGTAGGATAAGTTTAGGGGGAATAGGTGGGGATAGTGGTGAGCACACTGAATGTTTCTTAGAAAGATGGATAATTCTAATGAGTAATTTTTGGAGAAAATGGATTTGTCATTTGTAAGGGTGAAAAAAAAAGAAGCAATAGAATAAGAACAAAGGAGATGTGAGGAAGAGGAGGGGATATAGAGTTAAGAAATTCACAATTAGGGATTAACTATGAGGGAGGGAGTGCTAGAAAGATAGGGGCGGGTGCTTTAGTTTGTCATGAAGATTCTTAGTTGGAATATTTGAGAGAGTTATGAAGATTGTTTGTCTAAGTTAAAGTCCTTCATAGAAGTATAATCAAGAGAGTTTTTTTTTTTTTTTCGGCGGGGGAGGGGGAGGGGTGGGTAGTTTAGAAATTGGGTTTTCCTATCCTTTGTGGGAAGGCTAGTGGGGGTTGTCATTATTTCGGATGAAAGGGTTGTTGCTGTGGAGGATTTAATTAAGGATGAATTTTTCCATTTCTATTAAGATTAGACATAGGAATGGTTATGAGTGGTGGTTGACGGGGATGCATGAACCTAAGAAACTTAGATTTAGAATTAAATTACGGGATGAATTCATAGGTCTATTTGAGGTGTGTAATCCACAATGATGTATTTGGGGGGGGGGGAAGGGGGATTTAAATATGACTAGGTATCCTGTGGAAACATTAGATGGGGGAGAGAAACAAAAAGAATGAGGGATATTGACACTTTTATTAAGGAGACTAAAGTTAGTGATCCTCCTATGGCAAATGGTATGTTCACATGGTACAATTTTAGAAATGGGTTGGTTAGTAAAAGATTAGATAGGTTTTTGCATTTTGTTGGTTGGGGGGATTGTTTTCGATTGGAGAAATAATAGGCTTTGTCTAGAGTAGTTTTAGACCATTGTCCCATTGTGCTCGATGATTCTAGAGTAGGCAGGGTCTTTTCCCATTTAGATTTGAAAATATGTGGGTGGAGAATAGAGAATTTAAGGGAAGGATTAGAGAATGGTGGGCGAGAGATGAATTTCAAGGATGGAAGGTCTATAGGTTTATAATGACGTTGGAGTTTGTTAAGCAAAAGTTGAAAGTGTAGAATAAAGAGGAATTTGGGGATGGTCGTGAGGTTAAAAGGAGTATTTTGAATAGAATTGATGATTTTGATAAGAGAGAAGAAGAAAGGGGTAAGAAAGAAACGAAGGGATCTTAGGAACAAACTTGAGGAGGTTCTGTTTAGGGAAGAAAGAAGTACGAGACATAAATCTAGAGTGAAGTCAATGATAGCTATTGAAATTTTTTGTCACGAGTGGCAAATATAAAAGGGTTCAAGAAGGTTATTGATAAATTAGAAAAGGGGATGGTATGATTATTGAGGATTAGGATTTGATTGAAAGGGAAATTGTTGATTTTTTTTGCTAATTTATATTTTGCCAACCATAGAAGTAGACCTACTTTAAGGGGGCTTCAGTGGTCTCCTATTAAAGGACTGGTGGCAAGGTGGTTGGAGTGGCCTTTTGAGATGGAAGAAGTTAAGAATGCTGTCTTTTAGTGTAGTAAAAATAAAGCTGCTGGTCCAGATCCGGATGGGTTCACTATGGCCATTTATCAAGTGTGTTGGGAAGAGATGAATGATAATTTGATGAAACTGTTTGAGAATTTTTTTTTTCCTATAATGGGGTGGTTAATGCAATGACAAATGTCTCATTTGTTTGTATGCTTCAAAGTTGCGGTATCGACTATTTATTTGGAGGCCACCGAGACATATTGACTGTGGCATCGCGACGCGGTATCGGTTGATACATATAAAATGCCAAATAGAAGGCCCAATTTTTTAAAAAAAATTTAAAAAATGGAAGCAACAAAATTCATTGTAATCTGATCAAAATCTACCGTCTACCACATTAAATATATTGAAATTGGATTGGAATGATGCTACCGGACATATCGAGCTATATTATGGTAACTTACTAATCAAATATATTCTGTTAACTTACTAGTCATTGTTTCGATGTATTTAAAATAAAAATACAATCAAACCCAAAAAAATTCAAACAATATGTAATTTGTTTGTATGGATATTAATACTATTTATTGTTAAACATAGATATGACATCCTATTTACCCCAAAAAAGACACCAGTCCAGAGCAAAAGAGAAGAAGAATAAAGAATACAACACATAGTATATTAATATAATATTAATACCATTTGTTACTTAACCTACATATCACAACCTATTAACAAAAAAAGGGCAATCGTCTAAAATCGGGAGAAAAACGAATACACACATAGAGAGAGAGAGAGAGAGAGAGAGAGAGAGAGAGAGAGAGAGAGAGAAGACATCGACAAAAGGGAACGACTTCGCGATCAACGCTTGATTCTTTGCGATCGTAGCTCGACAGAGGAGGACTTGAGGACCATCTCAGTCGATACTTGTGTGAAGAAGAAGAAGAAGAAGAAGAAGAGAAGGAGTCTACCTTAGTGCAGTAGCGCCAATTTTCTGGTATGCTTCTAATTTTTATGCATATTGCTTTGATTCAGCCATGTATTTGTATTTCATAGAAAATCCATGTGGGTCTTGATTTTTCATATTCATTTTTTGGCCTTTTTTTGCTTCATTGGCTCTTTGAGCGTTGTGAATGACTGATGTGTTATTATTCTTTGAATCGGTTGAGTTGGATACAAGTTTAGCCGAGTCAATCGAGTTAAAGTCGATTTTGACCAATTCTACCGAGGTGTGTTCGAGTCCTTACTAAGTCAAGGTAGAATTGGGATTTTTGCATACTAGGAAGTGGTATCGATTCAGTACAGAGCTGGATACAACTAGCTGATTCATATTAGTCTTGACTGATACCTTGAACCCTTTTTGTTTGTCTAGTTCAAAAAAAAAGATAATTATTTGAAGTTGAAGGATTTTAGATCTATTAGCCTAGTGACAAGTTTGTATAAGATCATAGCCAAGGTTTTATTAGAAGTTTAGGGAGTGTTTCAGAAATATTATTTCAAAATCGTAAGGGACTTTTGTTAAAGGGACATAGATAATGGATGTGGCGTTTGTAGCTAAGGAGGCGATAGAAGATTATAGAGTTAGAGGAGTGGCGGACATTGTGTTGAAAATTAATTTTCAAAAAGCTTATGATCGTGGATTGGAGGTGCTTGGATTTTTTGATGGAAGCAAAAGGTTTTGGAGTTAAATGAAGGCAATGGATTAAGGGATGCTTGAGGTCTATGAGTTTTTCTATTATGTTTGTTAACTTTAGAGAGTTATCACACTATTAGAAAACGAAGGAGAGTGGTCA